TTACTACTGACGGAATGCTGCATTGTGGTAAGGTCAGTACTGAGGGAGTGCTGCACTATCAGAGGGTCAGTACTGAGGGAATGCTGCACTGTCAGAGGATCAGTACTGAGGGAATGCCGCACTGTCAGAGGATCAGTACTGAGGGAATGCCGCACTGTTGGAGGGTCCGTGCTGAGGGAGTGCCTCACTGTCGGAGGGTCAGTACTGAGGGAGTGCTGCACTGTCAGAGGGTCAGTGGTGAGGGTGCACTGCACTGTTGGAGGGTCCGCACTGAGGGAATGCCACACTGTCAAACGGTCCATACTGAGGGAGTGCTGCACTGGCAGAGGGTCAGTATTGAGGAAGTGCTGCACTGCCTTTTGTTAAGCTGTTAAACTGAGGCTTCTTCGCATGGAAATTATCCCATGATAACCATTTGGAATATAAGCAGATATTATTCCCCAGTGTCGTGCTCAATATTGTCCCTAAATTGACATTGTGAAAGCAGATTATCCACAATGTTCTTTGTGGGAGCTTGCTGTGCCAAAGGAGCTGCTGTGTTTCCCACATCACAACAAAGAACAGTACAGCATAGGAACAGGCCCTTCAGCCCATCAAGACTTGTGTTAGCTAATGATGCCTTTCTGAAATAAGAACCTTTTGCCTCTATATGGTCCATATACTATTCCCTGTCTATCCATATATCTGTAAAGATGCCTCTTAAATTTTGCTATTGTATCCGTCTCCATCATCTCCGCTGGCAGCACATTCCAGGCGCTTACCACCCTCTGTAAAATACCTGCCTCTCACACCTTTAAACATACCTTAAACCTATGTCCCCTAGTAATTGACATTTTTACCTGGGTTAAAAAGTCCAATTATCCATTCTATCTATCCATGCCGCTAATAATTTTGTAAACTTCTATCAGGTCATCCCTCAATCTGAGACATTCAAGTGGAAAAAAACCATGTTTGTTCAATCTCTCCTCAGAGCTAATACCCTCCAAGCCAGGCAACATCCTGGTGAACCAATTCTGTACCCTCTCCAAAGCTTCTACATTCTTCACGTGGTGTGGCGACCCCATAACTCTAGACAATATTCCAAATATTGTGACTCAATAATAAATCATTAGTTGGAAAGCACTTTGGGATAACTGGTGATTGGGAAAAGTGCTACATTGATCCTTCTTTTGGTAACTCTTGCTCACCCTCTAGAGTTGAGAGGGCCACATTGCAGCTTCCCGGGTCTGGCTTAGGTAAGAATTTTTGCTGGTTTCTGTCTCTGATGGGTGACAGGCAATTCAATCACTTCTTCCATTAAAGTGAGGCCCCTTGTGCACCAATTACATTCCATCCACGAGGATAAGACCAGTGTACAAAATCTAACCTTTACCTTTCCCATTATTGCCAGCTTCATGAGAGGTTATCAGCTCAGCCCCAAGAAAAATATTCAGAAATTTAAGATCCTGGAGGCATTGTGGACCAAATTATAGATCATTCCCTCACTCTCATTTGTAATTTCAATTCCATGTCCTGCATCTTTTGTTAGAAAATGCATGCGTTCTTTGCTTTTTTTCTTGCTCTCTCGCCAAAACTCGAGAGAGAGAGAGAGAGAGAGAGAGAGAGAGAGTTCCAGTCCTAAAGAAGGGTAATACCCAAAACAATTACTTCTCCTTTCCTCCAGATGTTGCTTCGCGTGCTGTGTTCTTCCAGCCTCCTGTTTGTCTACCTTGATTCCAGCATCTGCAGTATTTCTTTTGTCTCTCTCTCTCTCTTGAATCCTCTTTTTCAGCTCTATCAGCCATTTTATGCCTGGGTACAGTACATTTGGCTTTTCCTGACAAGTATCTAACAAGCATGGGTCCTTTCCAAAAAAACGCAAAGCAAGTGTATGTGGTAAAAGAGCTGAATCTCTCTTCATGCCTTCATGGCAGGACAAATAGAATGGTACAGTCACTGTGTTCAACACTATCACCGTGTATGACACAAGCATTGCATGCAACACAATCATTGTGTATGTCACAGTCAGTGTGTTCA